CCTCCCTCCCCCCCCCCCCCGACTTTAGTCAGGGGTATTTATAGTGTAAGTCATGGAGAGGTCACCAGCTGTGAATTTTTGTTTGGCTGTGACCTATCCATGACTTATACTAAAAATATCCATGACTAAATCATAGCCTGAGCTATCAGCACATTGGGGAACCATTCAAAGCGGGCAGAGTTAAGGTTGCATTGTGAATTGAGCATGTACCTTAACTTCGTATGACCTGATTTTCAGAAGTTTCAGTGTAGCCACTCTCCCCATTCTGGAAGAGCATGAAGCACCACTGGATAACTTTAACTTTGAGGGAAACGAAATTCTTGGACATTTAATGTTCTTGGTTTTCTAAAAATAATTTTTCTGCATCCCCATGCACCACAGCCCAGCTCTCCCCTTCCATTGCCTCTGGCTTCTTGTCAATGATTACTCTGATCGCAGAATGCATTGGCTTCATGTTAGTTCCTTTGCTCCCCCATCGTAACCTTGTCTCTGGCCTCTCTGCTTGTCCAGCGCATCCATGTTCTCCCTCCTCAGTCCATCCCTGTGATGAGGCAGATTTTGGCATGGGACCCATAGATGGAGGAGCTGGGGAAAGGATGCATGCAAGTTCAGGGACTAGAATGAAGTCATTGGGGACTTTTTTGAAGCAAGGGGACAAATATGGGGGCATGTATGTGGAGGATTTTGTTGGGACAGAGCTGAAGCCCACTGCTCAGACAGCTGACATCCCTTCCTTTGCACCCACTCCTTCCCAGCACCCCCATATTTTCCATCACTGCTCAGATGCCTCTCTGCTGCTCTTACACTGCTCCGACTCCTCTAATATTCTCTTCATCATACCCATCTCTGACACCCCCCCGTGCCTGCTCCTCCAAGGCCTCTCCACATGTCCACCTGCTCCTTCCTCTGCTTTGCCACTCAGTCCATGGCCCTGGTAAACTAGGAATGGCTGTGGGGAGGGATGAGGGCATGGCTGCGAGGAGTGACATGAATGTTGGAGGCAGGAAGGGACAGGAGGAGCCCCTTTCATTGGTGGAGGCAGCATCCAGAAGGTGGAGAGTTCTGGATTCCTTCCCCCTTATTGGTGAGCCTCGGCGCCCCCTCCTTTAACCTAGTTGAGCAGTCACAGGGAGCTGGGGAGGGAGGGCACAGATGGCTCCAGTTCCCTTCCTCCGAAGTATGTCACTAAAGAAGATGAATTCCAGCTTCCCCTCCTTATTGTTTCTGCTCCGTCAGTGCTTCTGAGCTCTCAGAAAGGAAAGGTCCTATTGAGGATGATCCTTTATTCATTGAGGGATCATAGAAAAACTACTCTCTTGGAACCCTAGTTATTTGTCAAAGTTCCAGCCATTGAACTAGATTTTCAAAAACACAGTGTTTGGATGTTCCCTTACGGTAATAAGGGTCATTATCGAGGTGTGCTGGCTCCTCAGTAGCTGTGTAAGAGCACAGCACTAAGGGATGATGGTTGGCAAAGGGGCATTCCCCACACCACCTCCCATTCCCCACACCTCATGCACTGCTCTAACACAGCCCTGCATCCCCCCACTCGGCTCTGACCCCCCTCTATTCCTTAGCTCTGCACCAAAATAGTTATAAGAATCAGAAAATGTTATAAGCAACTTTTCTTTTATCCTACTTAGTCCCATTGCTCAGAAGATTGAGGCATGAGTGCATTATCCTAACTGCTTACTAGAGTCTTTCATCTTTCCTCTGTTTAAATTAACACTAATTTCCTTGACAACGCTTCTACAGTAGAATCAGTGTCTCCTTGTGGATTTTTGAGCTCTGTAAAGTAGACATGTTGGTCTCAGTGCCAAACTTTCAAAAAGAGCCTTTACAGAATGCAGGCAAAGAGCAAGGAACATGTACAGGGCACACTTGGAAGCTGTAGGGTTTGCCCTTGCGGTACATAGGTGTAGCTCAGGTTCAGTGACCATAGGATATCCCCTCCCAGCATTTGTAATAACTGTCTGGCTGCATTTTGTTTTCTTTGGCATGTCAGTTTCACTCATGCTTACCTGGAGTTTTAAACTTTTACCCTCAATAGCTTTTGAAATGTGCTTCTCCAAAGGGGAAGTGGGTCCAAGCACTAGATAAATTCCTAAGGGTGATACCAGTTTGGAGCGGATCAGAGCTATAGTTTGAGACCCATGTGTGGGCCAAAAGAGTTAGAACTGCCAGGTGATTTTTGTAAACACCATTTTTGGGGGGCTGTATCTCAGGAACCCTTTACACACATGAGCCTAAATTTGGACCCCACACTCGTGAGGTTCAGTCAGCATGTGGATTTTAGTGCATTTAAAATAGTCGCCTTTCAAACAGTGACTCTGAACCTTAAATAGAGCAGAACTGCTGCTCTGCTATAATAAAAATGAAATGAGGCCTTTTCAGATACATTCTGGGATATGAGTAGTGGTGGGACCAGTAGTGGTTTTGGCTTTGGATTTTTTTGGTAGCCTATAATAGAATTACGTTTAGTTTACAGGAAATGTGAAACTTGGTCTTCTGAGCTCCTGTTGGCACCTGGCTACCTCATTCTCACTCTCTTCCCCATCTACTTACCATGATTAATTTTTGTTATTTCTCCATCTGCTCTTCATTATGGTGCGTGGAGGACTGCACACTTACTTCCAGACTCCAGCAATGTCATTCTTTAAGCTGTCCAAGGAGAATCATTAGAAAGGGGTACAAGGCACTCTTCCTGCCTCGCTTGGCATATCCTGCTGCTGAAGTTTGCTCCATGGCGTCAGAATTTTCAAGCCTTGGGTATAGAACGCATTTGTGTTCTTCATCATGTAATTGGCCCTGCAGATCCCCAGTGTCGGAGTTGTGTTCTGTGGATGCAGAAACTGTTCCAAAGCAGACTGCTGTTAGTGGACACTCGCCTCTTACTAAATTGTCCTTCATGTAGATTCCAGATCAGATGTTCTTCCATACGGATTATCGACCACTGATCCGTGATGCTAATAACTATGTGCTGGATGAACAGACCCAACAGGCTCCACATCTCATGCCTCCCCCATTCCTCGTGGATGTGGATGGAAATCCACATCCCACAAGATACCAACGTCTTGTACCGGGACGTGAAAATTGTAAGGATGAACAACTTATTCCTCAACTGGGATATGTGGCTAATGGTATGTTATCTAAAATTCTTGTTTAACAAACTTATTGAAAAGTATATGAATGCTAATTAACTAGGGCAACACTAGAGGGAATGATCTATTATCACTCTTTTTCAGCTAGACAGTGATCTTCAGCCCAATGTTAATATGTGGGGGATGAATTACAGCATGAATGAAGCAATGCAAGTGTACGGATTGGCCTGTCTTAAAATCAGAGACAGGATTTGAGTTATTGTAGAGAATCTGTAGCACTCAAACATTAGTGAACCTTATTCTGTATAGTCAATGAATCCATTAATTTCAGTGGGGCTGTATGCAAGGCTGGCAGAATAGGGCCCTGTACTTTATAGCTACTGTATTAACAAAATAAAGTAATCTTTGGAAAGGAAGAGGGTTTTTGGTTTTGGAATCAAATTTGTTCTTTGTAATATAACCTTTGCTACAAGAGGATCTCTAAAAAAAATCTGACTGTCAATACCAAATGAAACATTAGTACAGTATTTGTTTTCTCCACTGCTACATGTGGCTTTAGGCTTAATACTTGCAACGGGTGGGGAGAATCTTTTAAATTTTGGACTCTGCGTAGATAAGTAGTTCCCTATATGGCAAGAGAAATTTGGGTAGCAAATAACAAGGTATAAGAACCAGATTGCAAGAAGACTTTTCTTGGTTCTTTTTTGAGTATACGCTTTCATACAAACTGATGGTCTTTGGCTCTTGCTTCAATCCATATGAATGATAAAATAGTTTTTAAAATCTGTAGCATGAGTGGAATGAGAAACCACTAGAGCTGAACTTAATGGGAAAGTATTCAGAGGAGCTAGGTATCTCATGGAAATCTTTGTAGTTTACCACCTTATTGAAATAGTTGGTAAGCAATGTATCTTACAATAGAAGAGTCAACTTGGCTCTATACAAATAAAATGCAAAATTATATAATGTATGTGAATTGAAGGCAGGAAGGCACTTGGTGCGGAGTTTGTGTGTGTTTGGGTTGTTAGTAAAACTGGTGTTTTTGTTCTCACTAAGGTGACGGTGAAGTGATTGAACAGGTGATTGGGCAGCAAACCAATGACCAGGATGAGAGTATTCTGGATGGAATGATTAGGGAGCTGCAGAGAGAACAAGATCTGAGGCGAATGAATGACGGAGAAGCTATCCCAAACCCTCCATACAGTAGATCACACTCTATTAATGGTGGTAAGTATTCCCCCCCTTGTCTTGTTTACTCATTTAGTCAGACTGCTAGGAAAGCACTCTGAACAACTGTGACCAGGTGCCTGGATTGGTTGCACTGAGAATGCCAATGCTTTTGCAAATTTGACCCAATAGTTTCAGCTGGGGAAATGTTTTTCAGGGTCAATTTCAGAAAAGCATGTGTGTTTGCCTGTGTACATCCAGATTCAGATCTTCTCTGTCTGATTCAAAGGATTGATTTCAATCCACATCTCCTATCTCACAGGTGAGTGTGTTAATCACCAGGCTATGGAGGCATTCTCTCTCTTGGCTGAGTGAATATTTATGCAAAGTGGAATAGCTTCAGCCAGAGAGATTCAGAACAGAATAGCCTATAGCCTGGTGGTTAGGATTGTTACAAAGGAGAGAGATGTGAATTCAGATCCCTGCTTTAAACTGGGGATTCAAATGTGAGTCTCCCAATCCTAGACAAGTGCATTAACCGCTGACTAAAGGTTATCAAGGGACACCACGCACACTCCCTCACAGCCTGTTCCCCCTCCACCCCCTGAAAATGGGTTTTTCTGTTTTTTTGACAAATGCCTAACATTTACAGAATATTTTCTCTGGTTTTTCAGTTTGGTGATTTGAACCAAAATATCATTTATTCGCCCAGTTTTACCATGATTATGTCTTGTGTGTGTTTTCTTTCCCTGTCTTTCCCCATTCATTTAAGCCAGAGAGTCTCAACCTTCATTGCACCGCGATCCCCCTTCTGACTACAAAAATTACTA